TACGGCAAATGTGCCATATCACCATAATTTTTTTGCCAGGGTAGTTACCCTCAAGATTTTAAATGTCTGCATCATTAGTGGCAACTTGTTTATTTGAAATTCACAAAAATTTGATTTTGATGTACAGTACAATTGATATCGGTTTTGTAAATGCCAATGTGTTAGTAGTAGTAAATTTTCATACTTAGAATGTGACTACTATTGATGAAAGCCACAATAGAATTTTTATTCAAATAAATAATGGTGTTAAGTTTCGCTAATACATAGTTGTATCTGTTTTTCATATGAGCAAGAACTACGATCTATTCATTTACAGTACTTAAATATAGACAAGAACATGTCAGTTTATTAGTATAAAAAAAAAAAGATACAAAAATAATATTACTACTATGCTACATCCAGAATCTGCCTCGCATGCTATGTTCAATCTAATTATATGCTACGTTCAGAATATAACTGTCCTAAAATTAAACTACTATGCTATTCTAATCTAACGTACTGTGCCAGTTCAACTACCATACTAATGTTCATTTAAACTAGAATCAAACTACTATGTTATATCCAAATTTCTGTGCTATGTACTAGTTCAAACTACCATGCTATATGCTGGTTCAGACTACCGTGCTATGTTCAGAATCTAACTACGACACTATGTTTAGTTCAAACTACCATGCTATATCTATTTTACTACTGCAGTACTGTGCTATGTTCTAGTTCAAAATATCATGCTATGTCTCAGTTCAAACTATGTTCCAACTCAAACTACTGTGCTATGTTCTAGTTCAAATTAACATGCTATGTTAGAATTCAACTATTGTCTATGTTAAACTCTACCAGGCTCAACTACCATGCTATGTCCCAGTTTAAACTACTGTGTTAAATCACAATTCAAATCACCTTGCTTTAAACTATTGTACTAAGTCCGGTTCTAACTACTGTGCTAAGTCCAGAATCTAATTATTGTGCTATGTCCAGTTCTAACTACTGTGTTCTGCTCTAACTACTATACTAGTTCTGTTCTAACCACCATATTACGCTTGTGACTACTGTGCTATATTCAATCAAATCGTCGCTCTAAAAAAAATTATATATAGTATATGCGGTTAAAAACTATGGTACTATTTGTATCACTGTATTTAAGACAATTCAAATAAACATGTGTACTAATTGAATACATGACAAAACCTGACCCGTAACGTAAATCTAAAATGTGCAACGAAATCGTGTAAAAGTATCTGCAGTAGACATTTTAAACTTATAAAAATTAGTACTTTAATAAAAATATAAGTTCTATATACCAAGTTAGTTTCGAAAGATTTCTTTGGTAGTAAATGCTGGTTATAATACATACCTATAGTTTTTTGATCGGTTGACCCCACGAACGATCGGTTGGACGCGAATAAGATATAGTAAAATGATATGCGTCAGTTGATTTGACCTTGATTTTGGGGTACTGTTTTGATCAGATCATATTAAAATTGGGGTTCTCCTCTATTAAAATTATGTCCCTAAAAACCAAATCGGTGGATATGAATGGTATCGTATTGGTATAATATTTTCGTGTAACAAGGCTAACCAATAGAAATCTAGATGAAATTTTTTTGTAGAAATAAGCGCATGTGACAAATCTTTATTTTCTAGGTATTATATATAAATTATACGGTAATAGATACGGTAATTATACGGTATAATAACCTGGTATTTATACCAAAATTTATTATACCGTATAATTTCCAACCCTAGCGACATATCAATAACATATCAATAACATGTATCACAGAAGAAATTCGAAAACTATACGTAGGAAATTCCCGAAGTATAAGATACCAAATTCGATAAATTAACACATGGCTCAAGTATACGCGTTATTTAAGAAGAAACTACGTGTTTAAGGAACCTCGTTTTTTTACGATTCTTGTATTTTTTTCCTGCACCTCAACAAAGCTATATTTTTACTAAGTTGTTTATACCATGACTTCCGAACAAAAATATCCCGGTTACGAAAAACTTACGTCTTATTTGAAGCGAGATAAAAAATCTTTTTGGGGCTTTTTACACCGTTGTCGAGACACAATCGTCACCACCGCTTCAGCTACTTCCCGCTGGCATGACCTTGACACGTCCTGGTGTGATCGCTTTTTGGCGGAAGCAAAAGAGCTATTAAACTCAAATGACTTTAATAACTTGAAAATACAGGTGTGTTTTTTTTTATTTTGCAAAAGGGGGGTAACTCCTAGTCGGGCGCGTTCTGAGTTAGGAGAATTACCGGATATGACAAGTTGGTAACCACTCCAGGTTCTCTATTCGGGCACCCTAACTTTGTCGTTGGATAAAGGTCTGCTGATTCCGGAGGAAGAATCGATTATGTGTCTTCCTTTGGGCATGCCTTTTATCATCTGATTTCTCAGCCTTTCTCTCTCTCTCGCCCTCTCTCGCTTTCTCGCTTTCTCTCTCGCTCTCTTTCGCTCTCTTGCTTTCTCGCTCTCTTGCTCTCTCGCCTTCTATACTATAAATCATTTAATTTCTGGCATGCCCTCACCACTAAATAAAAAATTACACACTGTTAACATAATAAATGCTTTTCTTATAATAGGTCAGTGAAGATCGAAAGCGTTATAATTTCGAGGATTATTGGAACGATGTAGTTAATGAGTGTAAAATAGTAAGTAAACTATTTATTTTGTATTTATATATTAGCTTTAAACTTATTCTAATTATTCTTCTGGAATTAGAGACGAGATATTTCAGAGCGTAAAGTAGAAAAAGAACGTATTCTTCATGATCTTTCGAAAATAAATGATGAGATAAAAATGAAAGAAGATGAGCTTACCAGAATTTTGAATAAACACCCCAAAGATAGTTCAAATTTAGGTGATGATTTGATTGCGCAATCGTCCTCTGCAATTGATGAAAATTCGACTGCTATGCAATCGTCCTCCGCAATTGATTATGCTAATAATGATACAGGTTCTAATGATGACAACAACACTAATAATGGTGGTAATGATAACAACGGCGATTATTATGATAATAGTGTTAATAATGATAATGGAGATTATGACGATGACAGTGATAATGACAATGATAATAATTTTAGCGTCGTTATTGGTGGTTCTATTCGACAAAAAAGAAGAGCGGTGCCTCGTCGGAATAGAAAACGGGTTAATGATAATAGTAATAATAATGAAAATAACAATAATGGTGATCACGATGATGATGATAATATTAATAATTATGATGATGATAATAGTGGTGGTGATTATAATAATAGTGAAGAGAATAGTGCTAATAATAATAATAACAATGATAATAATATTGCCGGTAGTTCTATTCAAAGAAAAGCACCTAAATTACCCCGGCAACGTAATCCTCGGAATAAAGAGAGGATTAATTATAATATAGAATCTTTATCGAAAAAATCCGTAAGTATAAATAGTATTAACAATAATAGCAATGATAGTTATATTAATAAATTTACTTTATCTATAGACTTTACCATTACCATCCTCTTCAGGTATTCGGAAAAGCAGAAAAAGAAAAAGAGTCTGCTCAAGAAGTTGTCCTATACATTGTAAAAGAAAAAAAATAAATAATAGATAGTTTTTTGTATATGTCAGTGACATTAGCTCCGCTATTTCAATACATGTATCTGGCACCTAAATGCCTATATATTTTATTATAAAAATAAAGCAAATATACGTATATTTTTCCTGGAATTTGATTTTATTTTTATTTTTCATCGTATCAATAAAACTGGCCCTGGTGGCTGATTTCGCATACATAATCAGTTTACTTTTTCGTGTATATTTTTTGGAATTTTTTCTGATGTATTGCTATTGATGTCATGTGTATATGATCGAGAATTTTTTCACGCAGACAGTAGTATAGACGTCATGTATTTTTTTCTCGCAAGCTCGAAAAAAGAAAAAAGTAATCACCTTCTTGGTCATATGTGTTCAGCATATAGTGGTCACTTACTCTCTGGCTTCGAGCAAAAATTGCGAGAAGGCAGTATTAATAAAAAATTTTTCGCTGACGGGCCGTGAGGGAAAATCACATAATATTTTTTATTTTGAATGCTTATATACAGTGTATTAGTTTTATATTGATCATGTCAGTTAACGAAGTTAGCCCATCTGAGCTTGAAGTATTGAAACAGCGTATCACTAAACTTGAAGCTAAGAACGCCAAGCTTGAGGCTGAGAATGCAGAGCTTAGGAAGGAGAATACTGAGATCCCCGATCTTAGAAACAAGCTCTCATTGTTTGATGCTGAAATAGCTGAACTTAAGCGCAGGAATGCCGAGGCCCTAAGAGCGAATGGGGAATATAATGAGAGGCGTGATGTTAAGATAAAGAAATTAGAGCAGAAAAATGCAGAGCTTGAGGCTAGGCTTGCGGTAGTGGAAAAGAGTTCTGTGGCAGTGGATGGACAATCACAGAATGATAAGGAAGCGATACTAGAGAAGTTCCCAGAGGTATTTGCTGATGATGATTCCGTAGTACACGTATTAGAAGATTCTATTCTCCACGAAGCATCATTTGCTATTTCTTCCAATATTCATACACACTCGTCCGAGCCTAAATCGTCAGAAAATAAAGAGATCGATGAATTTCTGGATTTGAAAAGTAAGGAAAGAGTTAGTAGCGAGATAAAGCAACGCAATAGAGAGAAGAAGCTTCAACGTGAATCAGCTGAAGACCAATCCCCGAACTTAATTTCAGATACTTCTATCTCTCCCGAGCAAAATCATGTAAGCGAAAAATGCCAAGAAATTTCCGTCACGAATCCTGACGATCGACAAAAAAAACTTTTCAAATCGTAATATAGAACATTTATCAGAAAGCAAGTCTACAAATTATAATGATTATATATCTGAGGAGCCTGACAAAATTGAACCCACTAATAGACAGTATATTGAACAAGGATTAATAAAAGAATTGCTCAGTAGCGCCCCTATTGTATCTCCAGTTTCTTCTGAGATTAAAGAATATCGAACATTTCAAATCACAACACAAAGCTTAGTCCGTTTATTTCATTATGCGATACGATCTAGACATGAAGAAATCCTAGCTTGGTACTATTACTCAGATAATTTTGAAAATAGAATTATTGAAATTTGTCGTGAATTAAGAGTTACAGATAAAACTGCCAGAACGCAATTATACAAGGAAATGTTAGAAAATCTACCTGATATTACATCAGGAAACTTGCGTATGAAAACTTTAAGAGCTAAAAAAATTCGAATGCTATTTGGGAAAAACGGGGTTGGAATAGATAAAATCAAACGAGTTACCTACAGTATATATGCTATCTCTAGTCTTACTAATATTCAAATTCAAAACGTTATCAAGAAAGTGACTTCAGTAGAACCATTACGAGAAACCGTCACGAAAAATGATGACCAAACTAAAGCGAAGGTAAGTGTTTCATCTAATAATATATTGCCAGAAAATAAGATTCCATCTATAGATCATGCAAGTGTATCATCTATACCACCTGCCTTAAAACCCATTACTGAGAAAGTCTTGCCCGAGAAACAGACCCACGACCATGCTTACTTTCGTAATAAGACACTGTTGCGATATTCTGATCTATATAAAACATTTATTACTGAAAAATTTGATTATTATGATATTATTGAGGGGTCATTATGTCCAGTATGTAAATTAAATCACGAAGATGGGAAAAGTGTAAAAGGTAGATACGAAGCTGGATCTTATTTTATTATATGTGGAAAGTGCAAAATTGAGATAACAGCATAAATTATAAAATTATCCAGGTATAACCACTATGTGTATTCTTGTTTCAAACGTTTGTAAATTAGTTAGACCCGAAGGGTCATCGCTTTGTAATACTATATTTGTTTTTTTTTATAATTGTTATGCACAGTGTCAGCACAACTCATAATTTGAATTTGCGATCATATAAAACAATAACATGGATAAAGCCTATTTCGGAGAAAGTGCTTTAACCCCTGAATATTTGAACTGGCATGCTAAATTGGTTGATTCACCGAGTCATTTGTCAGATAAAATTCGTTTGAGCTTATATAGAGCATATACGGAGGAGACTGGGCTCGATCCCTGGATAAACTCTGAAACTCCCGAACCCCCACAAATCGAAAAGGATGCCAAAAAAAAGACGTTATTTGTACCACAGATAAATGTTCAGCCTACACTATTCAAACTTCGATCACCAATTTCTATTCTACCTAAAGACCTCGAAGAAAGGCAACAATATGTTATTAAAATGGTATTAGAACGATTTCCTTATTTAACTTTGAAACATAATTTTAAATATAGTAATTATTTTGATTTTAATAGATCTGTACTCTGTCCTATATGCAATAAAGACCATAAAAAAGAAAATATAAGAAATAATATAGAGGGTTTATGGGGGAGTGGTGATTATATCAATACAAAAACTTATTATCTCTATTGTTATATAAATAAATATCAGAATTTAATCCCAATAGTAACTATAAAAGCATAGGTTAATAATTGCAAATTGCATTACAAGAATCATATAAAAATAAAACAAGGGAAGGCTGTGGGCCCCTTCTTTATTTAATATTTTTTTTGCCAGAATGATAATATAATATACAAATAATAATTTTTTTCTAACTATACATTAACGAACATTATCTTTATCACTACTATCATCATCACCAGCTGAATACCACATATAACTTTTAAGAGAATTGTTATCACTATCTTCATGTTCATAGTAATACAAAATCAGGTTATCAGAGATATTGTCTAGTTTGAATAGAAAAAGAAACTAAGTCCCAGGTGTTTATATTTTAAAGAAATTATTTTGTAGAGCGAAGCTCATGCCAAGGCATAAAATATTTACATATCATAAACTTTACTTACAAGATCTAGAACTATACGATCTAGGTACATAACCTATTGAGATAACAACCTCAAAGATGTTAGAATTATTAGTCATAGAGGCATTGCTATCATTAGTCTTGGGGGTGTTACTATCATTAGTCATGGAGGTGGTAGTGTTATTACTCGTGGTGGTGACATTATTAGTCTTGGAGGTAGTGTTGGTGTCATTAGTCTTGGAGGTGGTGTTGGTGTTATTAGTCTTAATGGTGGTGGTTTTTTTTTACTGCTTATTTTTTGTACCTAAATACAAAAAAAATCATAGTAAGAAAAAAATTCAGTTTTATAGCTGAAGTAAAATAAAATAATACAAATTACTTAAAAAAAATATATATTAATCCATTATAAATAATCATCTCTCTAAACATATCTTTTACCTGATCAAGAGCAACTGAAG